CAAGCTGTTATAAAAAAGTATAAAATTTATAAATGAAAAATCCTAAAAACAGAGATTTGCACTACAACAACCTCATCGAAAAATCAACAAAACATCAAACATTATAATCTTCAACCAACAGAAGTTACAGAAACAACGTATATTTGTGGGCAATTTGATGCATATTACAGCAACACAGAAATTAAGATATTGAAGCAACACAGAAGATAGCATATAATAAAGCCTTCTATAATCATGTCTAAAAAAAAAAAAAATCATCAAGTGACTTGCTTTACTACAGAATCCAGAAACCCTATATAAACCCTTGCAATATACCTCCCGAGGTGGGGCTATTAAAATAACATAAAATCTTAATTCTTTTCCCTTTATAAAGAGTATTCTAAATATATCAACTTATTATACTGAATGATGAATTTTCAATTATTTGAAAAAAATTAATTAGATATTTCTAAGGAATGTTTGTATAAATAGTGAAATAGCTTTGAAAAAATTAAAAAAAATTAAAAAAAAATACAAGAGAAAAACCTTTCAATAACTGTATTTCCCATTTGGAGCGTCTCTCACGAACTCCCCTAGTGTCTCAGGTGAGATCATCTCCCCTAAAAAATGAATCAAAAACAATTGGACTTGGTAAACATGTCACATTGGATTATTTTGGATTTTGAATTTATTGAGTTAGGTCATTTTATATTTTGGATTAAAGGAATAGACCTATAACTCACTTATATGGGTATTAAATTAAGTTAAGTGGATCTTATTTTTAAAAAAAAATGAAAATTAAGAATAAAATTTTTAATATTTTCTCTATTTTTAAAAAAATTAATACTAATTCATTGTTTAGTAAAAAAAGTTAAATTAATATTAATTCTAATAATTTAATAAATAATAATTATTTTATAATATTTTATTTTATTTTAAATTAATCAAAAATTTAAATTAAAAAATTAATTAATTTTAATTAACTCATTTCAAGTTGACCCAATCATATTCAATCTAACTTAACCCAATCCAACCTCGATCCAACTTTGACCCAACTTAATTAAATTTGAGTAATTTTAATTTAAATCATATTAGATTCCATATTAATACTTTAGATTTATGACTCAACCTATATAGATAAGTTGAGTTAGATCTTCAAATCAAGTCTAATTTTATCAGGTGTAATATCAGGTGTAAAAAAAAAAATAAATCATAAGAAGCCAAAATAAAAGGCAAAAAGGGGAAATTTAAGAAAATGGGCTTCTAAAAGGCATTTTTAGAGCTCACAGTTGAAAATGAGGAGCAAAGGTTATGAACAGTCTAGCTGCAGGACGCTCTTTGTGAAAACGCATGAAAAGACAGTGTTTACACCTAAAATAAACCAATAGGGTAAGGCCACGTGTCAAGGTAAAACCCAATTATCAAGAAAATCAATAGGCTGGATTTGGGCTGGGCTGGCTTACAATTTAACGGCCTAGACGGATTTCCAAGGAGGTTGGATCTTAGGTGGCAGAAGATAAGATTATATCTGGTAGTTTGAGTTTGATTTAAAATGGGAAATTGAGGATTTTTAGGTAGTTATCTTTAAGGTTGTTGGAGATAAGGTTAAATAAAAATCGGATAACTATTAAATAACTGCCAGACATGCAATCCCATTACCAGATCATGGAGGAACAGTGCCAAAAATCGAGGAACAGTACCGAAGATCATGGAGAAGATCATGGAGGAAGTTACCAGCATCGAAGGGAACAAAAACAGAGAGAAGAGAACAGTTCAAGGCCCGCCCAACACACACACAGACTGCCCAGAGCATGTTTTTCAACTTTCAGACTGCATTTTCCAGATTTCAGCAATAGTTTCTAGATTTTCCAGATTTTCCAGATTAGTTCATAGCCTTAGCCTAGGTTTGTTCATCTTTGTTCATATTTTCTTCCGCAAATTCCAATTTAGATTAATTTTTAAGCATTTGGAAGCAACTTAGCCCTCAAAACAGGTCTGCCCTTTTAATTTGGTTAGTTCTTCTTCTTTTTATGGATTTAATTATGTTATTCATTCATGTAAATAGGTTGAATGTTTTCGACTTTTGTTCTTTTGTTTCTGCACAATATCCAGACATGCAATTTGTTTAATTACAATTTCCAGATTTAAATTTATAATTTTCCAGACTTTAGTCACTTCATAGTTTCTTCTTCAGTTCTAGTTATCGTTATGGGCTGCGTAGTTGAAATCATTGTCTGTTATTTTACTTTTTCTATTGTCTGCGAATTTAATCTTTATGGCATGTTATTTTCTGCTATTTACTTCATGTTATTGTAATTGCTTTAGGATATTGCATTTATTTTAGGATTTGTAACTTTTATTACACTTGTTTGGTTGTGAAGTCCTTGGAGGTTTCCAAGGCAATTAATAACCCATTTTGCAGAACTCCACCCTCTATTTTGCAACATCGTCTGGGGCACAATTCATTTCATAGATGTTCTTTCCAGCCATCCTATTGGAAGTCGACCGTTGGAAAGGAGAAGGGTCGTCTGGAAAATCCTATTTTCTTGTTTTTAGACAAATCAAGTGGCACGCCTAATAACCAAACTCACGTGGTAAAGGCCGGCTGAGGATTTTTGAGGAAACAATCCTTTGTTGGCACGCCCGGTGGGACACGAAAAGTGTATAAGTTAAAGTTTACAGACCCTCTGTTTATACATCCAAAAGTGTCTGGAGCCATGCCACCAAGAAAGAGCAAAGACAAAGAGGTTCAGCCAGCCCAGGCTGACCATGCAGACGACAGTCCACTCCACTTTGAGGGCGAAAATGATCCCATCACTTTTCTCCCAGTGTCACCTCTAGCAGAACGGTCTTATGGGAATCCAGTGTTTAAGGAGAAAGAAGCAGACCGTGGAGGTGACTTTGCTGAATCAAGTAATATGTTTAGAGGTATGATGGAACGTCTGGATTTAGCATTCAAAGAAAAGAACCAGACTATGCAGAGGCTGGTTAAGAGTCAAGCAGAATCCTCCAAAAGTCAGGAAGAGATAATCAAACAATGTATGGAAGACATGAGACGGGTCTTTGAGGAAGGCACTAGGGTGATGCGAGAAACTGGGGAAGAAAGTCGCAGAACACTGCAGGCTGTTTCAGAACAAGTGGTTGAGCAAGTGCGACAGCCCAGACCTGAGATTCCTCCTCCAGTCGTTGAAATGCCCAAACAGATTCAGGAAGCCCCAATCCCAGCACTCGGGGGGCAAGGGAATCAGCCTCATCCTAACATTCAACAACAGAATTTCTTCATGGGTGAAGGACAAAGACAGCATGAACCAATGAAGGCTGCTGCTCCTATTGCAAACCATGGCCATCAACCTCAGCATAGGTATGTTCCACCAGGTAGGAGGGGAAATGTGGGTCTTCATCATCAACCCTACCGAAGGGATTTTTTCCAGCCACAAGTTCCTCCAGCCTAGCCGGTACAGCGCGGTCTGCAGAATCACCCAGCTCAATTATTCAATAGAGATCAACTAATAGATCTGGTACAAGAAACCTATAGACCAGCCTTGAGACCATTGGTGCGTCCAGCCTATAGGAAGCCTTATCCAGACATCATTGATCATGAAAATCCTTTTCCAAGGGGTTTTAAAGTGCCTGAGTTCACTTTATTTTCTGGTGAGGTTGGTCAGTCCACTATTGAACATATTGGACGCTTCACAATACAATGTGGAGAGGCGTCTGGAGATGATAACTTGAAACTCAGACTGTTCCCTAGCTCTTTGACTGGGACAGCCCTTACATGGTACCTCAGTTTGCCTCAAAATTCAGTCTACTCTTGGAGGCAAATGGAGGACTTGTTTCATACTCAATTCTATCGTTGTGAACCGGAAGTGTCTATGGCAGACTTGTCGAGGTTAGGCCAAAAGCCTGGAGAATCGTCTGAGGCATTCCTTGCGAGATTTCGGAGAGCTAGACTGAAATATAGAGTTGCACTGCCAGAACAAGAATTTGTCAAGCTGGCTCAGAATGGTCTGGACATTGAGCTCCGAAAGAAATTTGAGCGGATGGAATTCCGAGACTTCTATGAATTGTCTTATAAAGTGGCTCGGTATGAAAATCTGTTGAAAGAAGATGTTCAAAAGAAGGCTGCATCACATGGAACTTATTACAGTGACCCTAATTTTGATCTTGATGTGGCTGAGGTGGTTACAGACAAGCCTGTTGTTTGCCCAGACCTTGTCAAACCAACTCACCAACCTGAGACGTCTGTGAGACGTTATGTTGGTGAGGCTGGAAAACAGTATACTTTTGATGTGTCAAAAGCTAGTGATATATTTGACGTCCTTAAAAAGAGTGGTCTGATTAAGCTGCCGCCGGGACATAAAATCCCGACAGCGGTTGAAATCAGAGCTAGAGATTATTGCAAATTTCATAATTCTTGGAAGCATTCTACTGATAATTGTCTTATTTTTCGTAATGTCTCGCAAGAAAAGATTGATAAGGGTATCTTGAAATTTCCAGACAAAGCGAAGGAAACCATGGGAGTGGATGCAGATCCTTTTCCAACTGTGTCTGTGGGCATGAATGTTGCAGACCTAAGGAGTGTTGCCAAAAATCGCAGTCTGCCTTATGAGGTGGTTTCTTGAGGCACAGAGATCTAGACATAGAAGGAGCGTCAGGTCAGACCAGTAGAGGCTCGGGGGGCAAGAAAGGATCACTGTGACTAGGAACTTCAGTCCAGAAGGTACCAGACGTTATTCAACTAGTACTAGATCTCCAAGGATGGTCAAACTGCCACTCAGGTCACCTTCTAGACGGTGGGAGAAAATCAGTCATCCCAAGTTTCTAGCCCAGAATCCCAGAACCTTGAGGCGCAAACTGCAGCGCAAGAGGGCTGAAGAGCGAAAAAGACACCAGAAGCAGGTGGAGGCTGAAGGAAGTTCATCTCGCAGACCACGCCAACTTACCAAAAGGAATATGGTCTGGGTGAGAAAAGAGAAAAAGAAGGCTGTAACCCAGACTCTACAGAAGGAAGATGACCAATCTTCAGCCTCTCCAAAGGTGGCGTCTGTCATTGTGAGTTTAGACGGGGTTTTGAAAGCAACTTTTGAAGCACAAGAACAGTCTAGGAATGGTGGAGCTGAATCGAAAGAAGATGGCACTATTCATTTTGGGGAATTCTCAGTGAATTTGTCATGTCTGGTGCTGACATTACCCTTGGTTTTCCAAGCCAAGAAGGAGGAGGAACCAAT